ACCACGACTCCGATGGAAGCTGGATATTCATTATGATCGCGCCCCATCCCTTCCCGGAGGAGACTTCTCTCCGAGGCCCTTACAGAGGCCAATGAATATAAAATGGGGGGGGGGGGGGGGACTTGGGTGCCAGTGATCTTAACCTGCCCCACCTCTCAGTGACCTGCCACATGCTCCTCCTGACTTTATAGCCATCTGGGAATTCCATACATGCCTCACACTCCAATTACACACCTTCTTCAAAAGACACGTGCTTTGATTTGTTAAAAGTGGGCCCACGTCCTGGGGTCTTGGGACAAAAGCAAGTGGGGAAATGTATCCCACGGCCTGTTTCCTGGGTCTGCCTTCTGCTGCTCCATCATTCCTGCTAATGGATCCATGTATTTTTTTTTATTTTTTTTTTTGCGTGGGGAGGGCTGGGTTTCGCGGTTTCTGGGGGGACATCGTGGGGTGGCCGGGCTTTGAGAAATGACCAGGAAACCGAGTTCTCCTTCCACTTGGCCGGAGGAGCCCTTTCCTTCCACTTTCGCTGGTGGCTGGGGGGTGGGGCGCGCGTTATGACGCACAGCAGAAAATTCTGGAAAAGTGGCCCCCGGGGACCCCCCCCCCTCTCCTGACCCCCCGTGTGTCGCTCAGGAGGGCCTGTCTCTGGAAATTGGAGGTTGGGCCTTTGCCCGAAGCTGCTGCTGCTCCCCTCGCTACGGCTGACCCTGGGAGCCGCCAGCCTCCAGCCTGGGGGCCGGGGCACAGCGCCGGGCGCAGCCCGAGAGGGGGCGCGGGCCCGGCTGCTGGCCCCGGTGCGGCCCGGCCGCCACCCACGCGGGGAGCCTGCGCCCGCGGCCCCTCCGGAGGGAGCCGCTGCAGGTGAGGCTCCCGCTCCCCGCCGAGCTCTGTTTGGGTTTCCGCGGCGTTCGTTCCCCGCAGGTTTGTTTGTTTTTCTTCAAATTACAGATGCAGGGAAAACCGCCTGACATCATGAGAGCGGGACAGACGCTCACTTTGAAGGATTCCTGGGCAGGACTTCAAGTGAAATCATATGCCTGAGAAGAACTTGATACCGGTCTAGAGAAAATAACCAGCTCGGCGTTTGCCAAACCGTGGAATGTGCAAAATGCTCGACTTTTTTCTTTTCTTTCTTTTCTTTTTTTTTGCAAGAGGCCAAGTGTCCCTTCCAAAGCTCCACCAGGAATAGGAGCCTGGACATCACCGGAGGAGCAAGCAGCCCTGTGCCATTGCTGGGTGTGGGGGAAAGGGACCTATACATTGTGTGAGTTTCGGGTATTTTACATGGTTCACTTGGGGAAGGGTGCCTGCTACTATGCATGAATTACCGACTGCATGTGCTTAGCAAGCAAGCGTGTGCACAAAGCGGGGAAATGTGTGTGTGTGTGTGTATGGGAACAAAAAAACGTGGGTGTTTTCTGATAACTGAAGCCTGTCAATCAATCCTCACCGGACACTGTTAATGCCAACGACATGAACAGCAAGACAAAAGAAACGTATGTGCATATTAAGCATTCGTACTCGGTTGCTTAGAATTCATCTAAGACAGTTTAATACAATATTCGTCCTCCAGTGAATACATTCTGGTTAAGACTCCTGGGTCCAGCCACCACATGAGATTCTAACTCCTAAAACAGAAGTCCTTTTAAATGTCCTTCAAATAAGGATAGGAAGCAAAAATGAAATGAAAGAGGAAATAATGTGCAGAGGGAAAAACACAAGTGGCTTGCTTCTCTGCTATTCTAAAAAAGATCTGGCATCGTCATGGGTATCGGGGTAGGGGAGGTTGGCAATATAGAAATAGTCTGCAAGCTGAAAACTGTATTTTAATAGTTGGTATTTCCCACACTGAGTTCTTCTCAAAGTAAAACTAGCCACCACCTTGCTTTTATTCATTTGTTTATTTCTCCGAAAATCTAGGGAAAATATTATCTTCAGTTTAGTATTTAGTATTACTCAATATAAACGTGGCATTTGCTTTTCTCCAAAGGGTTTTCTCTTATGAAGAAAAAAAAAAAAAAAAAAGGAGAGAGAAAAACACCAGGAAAAGAGAGGCAAATGGAAGACTACCTATTTTTGAAACTTCTGGTTTTTATGTCATCAGAGTTAAGACAGAAATTACCTTCTCAGCAATGATGGTCAGCTCCATCCTGATGTACGTCAAGAAATCTGAAATGTCAAATAGTTAGACCAAGCTAGTGAACAAGGAGATTCCTCCATGAACAATTTAGAAAATGGAGGTGGTTGGATAATACACACAAAAAAAGAGAATCACCATCTTAATGCTCATCTTTCTAGAGTACTCTCCTTCCATTTCTGCCCTACACACACCCACATTCACTCACTCCACAACTACACCCACATAATTACTTCCCCATCTCATTATTTGGTAAAGGACTACCAAAACCCCAAAATTAATCCCCCACGCCTTAACTCATCTTTTCATATGAGTAAATGCTATCAGCCTCCTATGGTAAAATATGGTCTAAAATATTCAGAATAAATGTACAATATCGTTAAGTCAGCATTCTGTGAAGGTGTATGGTGAGGGAAACAAAAACCTTTGGCAATATAAGCACCTCAATCTGAGCTGAGCAAACGCAATCGGTTTGTATTCATACTTGTCTGCCCCAGTCATTGTTTGAATTAGGCAGAAAAATTACTTTCGAATTTGAAAGTTTTTCGATTTACACTTGGATGCAGTGAACTCGATGTAAAAGTTATGAACTAAGCAATACAAACTTAGCATTTCTAGTGATATTAATTATAAAAGCCAGGATTTTTCTGGCCCAGAAATAACCAGAATAAAATAAAAATCAAATATCACTTGTCCCTGCTATTTTATGTAACTTTATCAGGTTTTGTATAAATAATGGAACATGAAGAAAATTCGGTGTAATTTTGAATAAAATGTTTGCTAATGAGCAGACTAGAAAATGAAGAGCTATAGCATTTAAAATTGTAATTATCCCAATAATTGCCAAGGAAACTGGGAGTTCATGTTCTTTGTTAATTGTATTGGCCTCCACATGTTCACTATATTTAAAGAAGGAACGTGCCTCCCAAATGGATAACATCAAAATGGGGAAATATTCTTAACTTTGGCTATCCTTTTGAACAAGCATGACACATGACATTTTCATTCACAAAAGAGGAGTTATTTAGCAAATTATTTTACGAATGGAATTATCTTTCCTGCTGAATTAAACTTCATTATTTTCTCTGCATTTAAATTCACTTACATGTGTATATAGGTTGATCATTTTAATAGCACTTTGTACATCCCTTCAGTGAAATAAATGCATTATCTAAGAGCCCTCACAAAAACTGGAGGGCATAACAATGCAAGACAGTAACAAGACAAAATAGTGCTGGCTTCCTACTGTGTATTTGCATTTAACTGTTTGATAACTGCCTCTTCAAAATATAAGCAAGAGGGGTGAATCACACATTTTAAGTTTTTGCCCTTTGGGGGCCTGATGGAGAGATGCTATGAAGCGCTCTGAACAACAAACTGGAATAATAATAATAAAGCTGTCTTTCTAAATAACATGCCTATCCCTGTCAGTAGCCAGTTTGAGTTTTTCATTTTTCAGTCCTTTGTTTATATTAGTGCCCCCTCCCTCCAGTGTGCCTCCAGAGTTAAACAAGCAGATCAGATATTTATCTCCAACTTAACCATCCTAAAGTTTAAAAATATAGACCAAACTCTACGGTTATTAAAATTTTCAGTCATATTTATTTATTGCAGAAAAATAATATACAAAGATATTTACAAGACAATCATAAAAATATGAATGCATTTAGACACCGGATCTATTTGCATTTTACCATGGGTCATCAATAAATAAATAGAACGTTGTTTTTTTTGTATTTTAAGGGTTTTTTGTTTCCCCTCAGAGGAAGAATAGAAAAAAAAGGAAGTCACTGACCCTGATTTTGCAAGTCAGTTCAATTCTAGCATCTTTATTTCTAAAGGTGTTCTTAAAAATTCCTCTGATTGTTACCATTTTTTAAAAAAAGGAGAAAGTCCACAATGATGCCTTTCCTTTCAGTGGCTGATGGGCACGACCTCTTGAGAATGCATGCATGAAAAAAAAAAACCAATAAAAACATTCTTCGTCATAAAAAAAAAAGGAACACAAACAAACTGTTCAAACTTCTATCAGAATGGAGAGGTGTGAGGATGGTGCCGCTGCCCCGTCTGGGAATCACAGTCCACGGGCCTGTCTCGCTTTCTCTTTTAAAAGTGCGCCCCACGCCCTGATTCTTTGAATTTGGATTCTGCTCTTCTAATTTCCAAGAAAATCTTTGGCATAGATATTTATCTTATTTTATTTATTTATTTTTTTTAGTTATCCAGCTCCAGAGTCTCTAGACTGTCCATTTTTTTTTCTCCTTCTCTGGAAACAAGGATATCTGCAAAAACCCAAAAGGGGGTAAAGTTGGTTATTGTTTAGGTCTCCGTGGCTGCTTCCTAAGAGTCTTGAGCACTGTTCTTATCACCACCACCACCACCACCACCACCACCACCGAGAAACTGACGCCAAACAACCTGGAAGGATTTCAGCCCAAGGGCAAGAGGAAGTGAGTGGGCGGAAAGGAGGAGGTGGAATTTGGAAACATCGGTAGTAAAAAAAAGGAAAACTTGAAAGCCCACAGAAAGGGAGGCGCTGACCACCGTCCTTACCCATGACCCTGGACTCTCCCAGCCTTCCCCATCCTGTTCGTCACGCACACGCACCCACACGCACACCTTCCCGGGGGCGCATCCCTCCCTCCCCAGCTGCACCGCGCCGCCTCCGGGGACCAGGTGGGGTAGGACCGTTAGACGGCGGGCGAGGGCGAGGATCCGCCGTGACAGCGGAGATCCGCGGCCTGGCTGTCCATTCTCCTGTCCCCCCATTACCCCCCCCCCCAAAAAAAATGGGGAAAGGGGCGCCGGTCCTTACCTAGATCTCCGGCGGCCCTGCCGAGGGGGTGGGGAGCTCCGTCTGCTAGTGGGACGCGGACATGGACCAGGCCCCCTCCATCCTCCAGACGGAGAAGGCGTAGCTGAGCCGCTCGTGGGCCACATAGCTGCAGCTTGCCATCTTGGAGTCCAGCTCGTCGCTCTGCAGGACCTGGTAGAGGAAGTCGATGTACCTGGCGGCCAGCTTGAGGGTCTGGATCTTGCTCAGCTTGTCCGAGGGCAGCGTGGGGATGATCTTGCGCAGCGCGGCGAACGCCTCGTTCAGCGACTGCGTGCGCTGGCGCTCCCGCACGTTGGCCATGACCCGCTGCGTCTGCAGCTCCTCGTAGGACTGCGGGCTCCCGCCGCCGCTGCTGCTGCCGCCGCCGCCGCCGCCCGCTCCGCCGCCGCCGCAGCCCGCCGACTTCTTGCCGCGCTTGCCCTGCGCCGGGCTGCCCGGCTCCTCGGCGCCGCCGCCCCCGCCGCCCGCGGCCCCGCCGGGCCCCGCGCCGCCCGCCGCGCTGCGCCGGCTGCTGCGCCGCTTGCGCCCCCCGCGCTTGCCGCTCGCGGGCTGCTGCCGGTCCGGCTCCTCCTCGCTGTTGCTCAGGCTGTCGTCGGCCGGCGAGACGGGCGAGCTGGACACGTCCTGCATCATCTCTCGGGCGGCGGCGGCGGCGAGCGGCGGCCCGGGGAGGAGGAGGAGGAGAGCGGGCGCCTCAGCCCGCCAGCGTCCCCCGCGCGCGGCGCCGGCCCGGGCGGTGCGGCGGCGGCCGAGGCCGAGGAGGGCCGGGAAGAGGAGGAGGAGGAGGAGGAGGAGGGGACGGGGAGGATCTCCGCCGCGGGGAGGGCGCGCGGGGGAGGCGGGGAGGGAGGCGCGAGGGGGAGGGGACGGTGTGGATGGCCCCGAGGTCCAAAAAGAAGGCGCCCGGCGGCGGCCGCACACGCGCGCCCCGCGGAGGCCCCTGCAAACGCGGCCGGTGCCGGCGAGCGAGCCCGCGAGGTGTGTCCGGGAGGTGAGCGCGGGCGGCCGGCTCCGAGGCTCTTATATCCCCGCGCGGGCGGAAAGTGTGGGGGCAGCGGTGTCATTGGCCTGACGTGGGGAGGAGGGACTTTTCCAAGTTTTATAGGAAAGTTTCCGCTTTCCAGGCTCCCCCCCCCGCCCCCCCCCCAAACCTCCCCTTCTCCTTCGTCCCCACCCCCCTGCCTCGGGGTCTAACAATTCGTCCTCCCAAACCATTCAAAGCGGTCCTGGCCCCGGCGGCCGGCCCCAGTGCCCGCCTCTCGGCCGCTCTCCTCCTCCCTCCTCCCCTCCCCTCCCCGCGCCCTCCTCCCGCCGCGGGCTCCGCTATTCGCCTCCGCGCCCCCGCGCCCGAGCGAGCGCAGCCCGGGGAGCGCCGGGGCGACCGCGGCGGCCGCGGGGCCGGTCCCTCCCGGAGCGGCTGTGACAGCAGCGAGGGCCACCGCGTCTGCGCCCGCCGTGGGTGATGTCTCTCTCCTTTCGCCCCGGCTACCCTCCAGGTCCCTGGGGCCGGTTGGGGATTGCTGGGCGGCGGCGGGGGGATGGCAAGGACGCTGGCCACCACGTAGCCGGATCGGTGGTCCAGCAGCCAGGCCCGTGGAGTCCCCGCGGGCCAGACCCCCGCTGCCGGCCCCGAGGGCCTGGGCGTTCCTGGAGACGTGGCCGCGCCGCCGCCGGGGCTGCGGGTCTGCGTGCGCCCTGGCCTGCTCTGTCACCCGGGCCCTAGGAGCATCCGATTCTTTTTCTCTTTCTGGATCTCAAGCTTCCCAACGCCCAGGGGACCACATCTCCGAAGGTGCTAGAAAGAGGCAGAGGAGCTCGTTCCCCTCAGAAGGCAGCCCTGCCCTGGGAACGTGCAGGAGGGCCAGAGGGGGGCAGGCCCTCCCCGCTCGCCTGAGCTACCATCTCGAGGTTGGAGGACCATCTCGTCCCCACCCCATTCCCCAAGGAGGCCTCGCGTGGTGACCACCGAAGGTCCACTCCAAAGACAGTGTGAGGTGGGGGTTCCACATTACCTGGACACTCAGGGCCGCCAGCTGGGAGAGGCTCCTTCTCCACCCCATCCCTGGAGGTCCATTGGTCAGTTAGGCGTTCTGCGCCCCCAAACGCAGACCCATTGCTTGGACACTTGGACATATGAAGCATTTCAATCTCATAAGATAACGACAAAGAGCTCCCAAGAGGGTATTGTTGTAGAATCTGGCAAATTGGAAGCAACAGCAACTGGTGAGCTGGTGCAGGGAAGGGAAGTTCAGTTTTTGCAATGCTAACATACTTTTTCTTCTTCTTTGGAGCCAGTTGAGATAGAATAACCATTTCATGTTCATGCCTTGCGTTGCAAAGCAAGCCAGAGGTCAAAAGCAGTAGTCGGGTTTGGTTTGAGGGGTCAGATCTGGGGTATGCCAGAGTTCAGGGCTCTGGGCTCAGATCCCCTGCCCAGGCCCAGGTAAACTCCTGCTCTCTCCAGTCTGGACTAGGGGATGAGAATTATGTCAGACAGAGGGTCTGGGCATCCGCAGGAGTAGGCGGGAGCCCAGGCAACAGGAGAGCAGGCCATATGGCTGTGTCCCACTGAGGCTCTCAGCTTTGGTCTGGGGAAACCCAGGGAATCTGCAGCGCCTGAGCCCTGAGGGAGGGCAAGAGGCATCTCCCCCATTGGGGGGCTAAGGAGGCTGTGCTTTCTAGGGAGGGACGCTTACCAGGTTTGTCCACCACCATTTTTACAAATATTCAGAAAAAAAATGTCCACAGCGTGCTCACCAGCCTGTCTCCGGAGTCACTGCCATTCTTTAAAACCAATGCCTGTCTGAAAATCAAATCTGATTTGACCTCCACGTAATGGTACACAGGCAGGTCTCCTTAAAACAAAGGCACTCTGATAAGCCCCTTCTGTTTGGATCTTCTGCCTGTAGGACTTGGAAGCAGAGATTCTAATGCCCTACTCTCTACCAAGTGTTCTTCCGTGCAAACCTGCATAGCAGAGTATTCTCTGCGATTCTTATTTGAAAATCGCTGCCGAAATCTTGAAAATTTTCTACCGTTTCCTATCTTGGTTTTTTTGTTTGTTTGTTTGTTTGTTTGTTTAAGAGATCCATCTGAAATCTTAATTTTGTTTCATTTTTTTCCCCTTTAGCCGAATTCCCAACAAATAAAGAGATCGGATATTTGGATGCTTCCCTTTGTGGCTGTGGGTAAGCAAGACAGGAAAGTGTGGGCAAAGTGTACAGAAAGCCATACCTGACCGAGGGGGATTGGGGTGGAGGTCCGGGAGCTGCAGATGGGGGCAGAGAAACAGCGCCCATGACAGCGCAGCAGGCGGGGATCAAATTAGCCAGCCCCACTTGCAAAGCCATCAATCTCTGAGACTAGTTCCTAAACAAGGGAGCCCAGCCCTTCTCCAGGCACTAAACTTCTAGGGGACCAAGAGCTGGGGGCCCTTCCAGGGACCCGTGGGGCTGAGCAAAGCTCTGGATGACAGAGTTCTTAGAAGAGGGTTTACAATGAATGACCTAACTTAGAACCATGCCAGCGCCAAATCTTCCTGACCCAGTCACAATGAGTGACTTCAGTTCCGAGAAGAAATTTCTCTTGAACTCTTCTTCCAAAGGATGGAGTAGGAGGATGAGACTGGTTTCTGATCGTTCAAAGGTTACTTTTTGAGCAGAAGGGTGTAGCGTGTGGGATGAGCTATCTCTCAGGATGTCTGGCTTTTGATACTTCCTAGTGTGCAAGCTACGGTTTCCCCGAAGGGATTGTCCATCTCGCTTTGCTCATTCATCCATAGCTACATCCTACCTAACCTTGTATCGAACAGTTTTCTTAGCCACTCTGAGTAAAAGCAGGATCCCTTACTGCGTGCTGAGGAGCCAAATGTAGCATCTGTTGTAAACACAACACTAAGGGATAACTTCAAAAATATTCAGTTTAACATATGAAAGCTAAGTTTTAAAAGCCTAATTTCAAAACGCTTAAAAAACAGTCTTTGAAATTTCCCTCTGAGCCCGAACTCAGCCAGACTTGAAGAATGTAAGTAAAGCGCTACCTTCTTTGGCAATACAGTATTAATTGCAATTTAATCTTTTTCGTCTAGTTCTACAGGAAGTTTTTTGAAAATAATTTAACTGAAAACAAAACAAAAAAGTTGTTCTTTTGCACTGGACAATTCAAAATGAGCTTTGTTTTCAAACTGCAAGCTTGGCATGTTCCTGCCTGAGGAATGCGTCCTGTGTTAAATTTTTTAAGAAAATTTTTAGAAGTAACAGATTTAGGAATCTCATACTGAGCACATGAAATAAGTATGTATGTAGCTGTATCTTTAAAGCTTGAGTATGCACTGGCATTCTCTTAGCCACAGTCACTTATAAGTCATTTTAGAGAAGGAAAAGAAGCACACATACACCCTATGGATCTCTTAGCAGGCTGGTGAGTTTGCTATGTTGGGTCTTGCACATAAGACGAGTAACTGAATCTGTATCTACTCTCTCTCGCCACTCTTTGGATGACCTACCACCTGCTTGCTGGCTTAGAGTTCTGTGCAGTAACTTCTCTGAATTGCATGAATGAAGCACAGGATCATTCACACAGAAGGGTACTCAAATTGGAAAAGGCTGCAGGGAGTGGATCTCACATGAGGCTGCACATCAGAGATTCAGCACTGTGTGAGAGGATTTTATGAAAGGGCAGTACAAAGTGTGTGTCAGCACACGTGATTCTGGTAACTCTGTGCAAGAGCAGATTCGTTCTCTGTGACACAGGTAGCCTTAAGGATGTTTGAACACCTTGCCCTAACTAAGGAGTCTTTCTCTTTTGCTGAGAGGCTATTTCATGAATTTAACTGATTCTGCCTTTTTCTTTCTGAATTTCTCAAAGAAAAAGGAAACTGAAGTTAGAAGGAACTAAGATCTGAAGCTCGCAATCCAGAAATAAATTGGGAAAACAAAACAAACAAAACATAAAGCACAAGAAATTGAGTTGCCAACACCTCAAATGAGCAAATCAGAATTTCAAATAAATATTAATTTTTAAGTATCTGGCATTGCATTATTCAAAATGAGGATGAGCTAAGGAGATATAACTTGCCAGACTTGTAGGGAGAGAAGAATCAGAGTGTGGAAAGTGTGGAGTTTTGAAGAACCTTCCAAACTCTCTATTACCTTATTAGGTGTGCAGGCTAGAAAGTCTGTGCCCACCTTTGCTGCCAATTAACAATGAAATACATTCTCCCCTTACTTATTTCAAAGAATTGCAGCAATAATTTAAGAAATAATGAAAGAAAGCCAGTTATTCATAGAGGTTTTTATCGTGGCCACAATCTTCCTACATCATATGCATTCTTTTAATCATCTGATACTCCAGCAATTTAAATATAAATGCAAATGATTTACATTCTGTGTTTTTCCAGCTAAATTTCCCTTTCTCATTACAACTTTCATCTCTCTCCACTTCAAGGAGTTTCCTTTTTTCTCTAATGGCTTTTACTGAAGTATTAAATCCTGTATTCATAATTTGGGTTGATTCTTCAGAAAACATGTTGTTTTTGCTAGTGACCACAAGAGGACACAATTTCCCAGAGAACTTGGTTTAAAAAAAAAAAAAAAGTTTGTGGAAGAGGAAAGCTAACAACATAGCAAAAATAC